ATAATATTTTTTAAAATTAGATTAATATAAATAAAAAAGTTTGTTTACTATCAAAATATATTACAGTCGTCTCTTATTAATATCAATACTGTTAATATCAACCTAGACTATAAATCAAATTTTTATAAATTTTATATTTTAAAATTTTCTCATATATATTAACTTTAATATAATTTCTCATTAATATTACTATTAACATGAATTTAAACCAATCCAAATAGGTTGATATTAATGAGAGACGACTTTACTACTTTACTTATTTTTTATTTTTAGTAAAATTATTTATTAATACAGTTGTTCTTTTATACAATTACTTTATTCAATATATTTGTGTAATTATATAGAAAAATGATTCAATAGAATTATTTTTATATAATCTCATAATATAATATAATGCGATTTTGGAAATAATTTGTTTTTTAATCAAATTAAATTTATATTAAAATTTCTTTAAAACTAAATTATAAAAATTAAATTTTATAATTATTTTATATATATTTTATTAATATCAATCTTATTAATATTAACCTAAGTTACAAAACAAATTATTTATAAATTTTTATATATCAAAATTTTTTTATATATATTTACTTTAATATAATTTCTTATTAATATCACTATTAATATAAAAGTAAGGCAACTTAGTAAAGTGAATAAGTTGTTAACCTTCAAGTAATAGATTAAAAGTTCAAAACTTACTGATAACAAAAATTTGAACAATCACATATGCAATACAATTGTATTATAACAACAACATTTTGTTAATTAGTTGAAATAAAATACCTATAACTATAGTTATACTAGTATAACTAGCAAATTATAGAACATTTGTGTAATTTTGATTATACAAAAAAATACAAACTAGTATCAAGTAATACAACTTAAAATAAATTCTTATAATTGTGTAAATTTATAGAATTAAAAAAATCAAGATTATTTAAAAAAACCTATATAGAAAGTAATATGAATTTTTTATAATACTATTATAAAAACTAAATCTAAAAAAAAGATATTAATATAAAGAAATTAAGTAGATAAAAATCTCAATAAAAGATAACATCAACTAGGCCATCAAAATTCAGATCAAAAAAAAATATAAATTAGATTCAATATACCAAAAACAGATTACAGTTCTACCAGACTATTTGGATTAGGAATCTGATATCAAAGCAAAAATATACTATAAAGTTAATACAAAGATCTAGATAAATTCTACAAAAATATAGCTTTGTTAATGGTCTATAAAATAGATAAATTAGTTAATAAAAAGGTATTCTAAAGCTTACAGTTAAATGATATATTTTGAAGTAAATAATAACTTAACAGTCATATAGAAAAATAATTAAATATTAGATAGTACTTAGATATATAAGATCTACAAAGCTTTTTGATTAATATAATATAAAAATTAAAGTATTTAAATAAGTAACCTCTTAGTAGATTACAAATATGATAATTAGTATAGAACCTATAAGCAAACTACTTAAATAGATAATTAAAAATTACATATATAGTTAGTTGTATACTCATTTTATATATATTATATATATAAAAAAAGTTAATAAAAAATGTGATAAATTTTTTTAAATAAAGTTTTCTTGATTTTAAGCTTAAATATTCCAATAATTATTTTATTAAATTTAATAAATTTTATTTTATTTTAATTCTATAAAATTTTAAAATTAAATAAAAAAATTTTTAATAAGTTTAATTAAATAGTTATTAAAATATTTTAATTTAAAAATTAAAAAAATTTTACTAAAAATGATTTGTTTCTTTTTTATTAACTTTTTTTTATATAAATGTATAATTAAAAAAATACAATAAAGATAATAGCTACTGATAAACATTAACCTTAGCAAAAACATATATATATATATATTACTATTAATATAATTTAAATTCAATTCAAATAAAGGGTATGGTGATCTAGTAAAGTGAATAGGTTGTCAACTTTCAAGTAGCAGATCTAGAGTTCAAATCCTAGTAATAGTAAAACTTTGCAATTTTTTTTGTATTACAATTAACTGTCTTCTGTGATTAGTTAAGATAAGATACCTGTAACTTATATCATATCAGCATGACTGGAAGGTTTAGGCACTCATACAATATTATATGAAAAAACACAAACTGGTACCAGATGATGTGAACCCAAGATAAGTTCTTAGACCATGTAAATTATAGAAACCACAGAAGCCTACTTAAAAGACTTGAGTAAAAAGATAACTTGAATTTTTCAACAGTGTTACTGTAAAGACTAAACTTATAGAACAGAGCTAAAATTTGTAAAACTGGGTAAACATGTTAGTCTTTAGAAAGAACCAGATGAACTAACCAGGCCACCAAAATTTCCGAGTTTCAGAGAAAAAAGATACATGCTAACAAACATGTAAATCAGAGGTGTATAGTTTTAACCTACCTTTTTGTACTATTTGGAATGGCAGCTTGGTGAAACTTAAATTAAATACCAAAGTAGTAAAAATATATTGTAAAGTTAATATTAGAGTTAGGGTGAACTCTATAGGAACATAGCAGTTTAATGATATGCCCTAATCATCAATATTGGTTTCAGTTATAGTAATACCAGGTCAACTGTAAGAATAAGATACAGAAGATTCTGAAAGGTTTAGTATAAGATCAAAGGTTCTAAAGAATTGTTTTAAAGACTTAGTGATCATGATATATTTTTATCAGCATCAGCTAGGGTTGTTGGTAGGCAGAGGTAGATGGGTGAATATAGAAACTAGAATGGTTAAATAGAGAACCTACAAACAGGTTCCAGGTATAGCAGCTAGTATAGAACCTTCAGGCAAACTACTTAAATTAAACAATAACTAAAGTTGTATAAGTGACTAGTTATACACTCTTTCTATAGTTGCCCTCTGTAGTTGTAATGCAACCATTAGTCAAATATACTATCAATAAAATTCTGAGTTGCAAGTACTTACCTTAATATTTAAAAAAAAAATTCAATTCAGATAGGTTAATATAAATAAGAATAACCTATATTACAGATTTTATATACCAAGTTTATACAAAATGTTAAATCAAATTCATACAAACTGATAATCAAATTTATACAAACTAACAATTAAATTCATACAAATTAACAATTAAATATATACATAACACTTTTAATTAAATTGCAATATTTTGTAATCTAACAATATAAATTATAAAATTTTGGTATTATTTAATTCATCTTATTTTAATGAATCAAATGATACTAAATTTATATAATTTAAATAACTAGGTTATAAAATATTGTAATTTAATTATAAAAGTTATATACAAATTTAATTGTCAAATTGTATAAATTTGACTGTTAGTTTGTATAAATTTGGACTGTCAGTTTGTATAAACTTGATATGCAAAACCTGTATGTTAAAATTATTACTGTATTAATATTTAATTTCTTTAATTTTTACACTATTCAAATATTTAAATAATTATATTTAAATGAATATAATGCAATAAAAAAACACTTATACAATTATTATACAAAGTTGATACAATAATTTTATGTTAATAATAAAATAACTAATGAAATAAGTTTTAATAATTAACTTAGAAGTTGTTAATCAATATATTAAATTTAGAGCAAATTATTTTAATAAACTTTGAAACCAAACTCTTAATTGAGTTTGAGTCTAGTTTGAGTTTGAAATTAGCAAAAATTTAGAGCTTGATCCAGTTCAACCCCTGAACCAGACCCGGATCGAACTTACCCGAACCGAACCTAGAAACCCTAGCTTCTGCAGAGCAAAATTATTCAAATTTTGGATTTATTCATTCAAAGGTTAGAAATTGATTTAAAAATGAACAGTTAAAAAAAATAGTCTATATATATATAGTAATTTAAAAATGCAGCATATGAAAACAAATAATAATGAAAATATAGATGAAATTGAGAATTGTGAAAATACAAATATAAATAAAACTGAGAATAATTATAATAATAATGATTTATTTGATTTAAATACTGATATCGGTATAATTTTTCAAATATATATATTATATATAAATTACTTTTTTATTTATATAGATATATCAGATATATTTTATAACTGATAAGTATGTGTTTAAACTTATTAGTAACAATAAACTTCGAAATTATTTAGCTTTGTTTTTATAAATAAACAGTTATGTTATATAGTTACGCATTAGTAAATATATAGAGAAATAAATATTTAGAAAACATGGCTTAATATTTTGCATTCTTAATATTTCTATAAACTAAATATAATCCAATTGTTTTTTTAAAATTTTATATTTTAAACCATTATCTAACATAATTTAATTAGTAGATTCATTGCTTTTCTCTAGTTTATATTTGAAGTTCTAGCTTAATTAGTATATTCATTGCTTTTCTCTAGTTTATATCTGAAGTTCTAGCTTAATCACTATGTTCTTATATTCAAATAATGTTTACAATAGCAATTGAAAGAGTATTATTGATACAGTAATATAAACAGCTCTAAATTTAAATTAAATACTGTTAATATGTGTACTTATATTGCTTAGAAATCTAATTATATTGTACTCTATATAAATACTATATAGTTTGAAATTTTTTGAAAATTGTATAATCTAATTATATACAATACTAGGTATTATATTAGTATTATACCAATGGTATAATACGGTATTAGGTATAGCAAGAACCTAGCATGTAGCAATTATCTTAAAATCATCACATGATTAATTTTAATATAGTAATAATGAAAAAAAAATTTAAATTAATACACTTTTTATTAATAGATTTTACAAACTAAAAATATTTTTTAAAAAAAATAAAATTTATAAGTAAAATTATTATAAAATCTCAAAATCTGATTGGTTAGCTCATTTCCCATATACGATTTATAATACATATATATTTCTAGATATTTTTATTTCAAAAATCTTTTGCCATGTTAAAAATTACTTCTTGATTTCCCTTACGTAGTTGCCTAAAAAAGAAATTTGTTAATGAAAATGAAAACGATATAAAAAACCATTTATTCGATTTTTTTATGCCTCAAAGATAAACGCTCTTAATAGATATAAAGAAAGATTAAGCAGATAAATCCACTTACCAGGAAATTCACCTACAACACCACGTAATCTACCCACCCACCAATCATTAGGCCCACTTCCTCTCTCAAGTATTTCAATAATATCCCCGGCCTTAAAACACAAATCATTTTCTTCTTTTCCTGCATAGTCATACAATGCTACGACAGTTGTTACAGCATTGTTTACCTTGTGTTTTCTTCGATATAATATAAAGCCAGCAGCCACTAATGCGGCAGCAAAAACAATGGAGCCTGCTATACTACCTACTATTACACCTATATTGAGCGGAGATATAGGTGATCTGGGTGTGGATGAAGGTGTGGATGAAGGTGGAGAGGTACTTGTAGTCCCATTTTTTCCCAATGGACTTGGTTGAATTCCAAAAAAAAAGTTTGTCAATTGTAAATCTTTCGAATCTTTGGTGATGTCTGCAATCCCAATTCCTGCTAAATTATTATTATTTATATAGTCGAGTTTAGCACTTAACGACTGATAATCTTCATAGAAAGTAACATAGTATTTTGAAGAGTCTTGTTGTTGGTAAAGATATGGTTGTTTTGCACTGCTAACAAAGCCATTAGTCCATGGTGACGATGAAGTTAGATTCGTAGGACAAGATGATGATGATAATAAACTACTTAAATTTTCCCATGACAAATATGCATATGATGAATATTTACACAGCTCTGAAATTTGTTCATTAGCAAAAGGGAAATTAAAATTCGGGTCATTAACTAGTTGAAGATGTTGATTCTCGATATCTGATTTAATACTATTAGAAGAAACAAATTCAACAATGCCACCAAATTCAACGCCCAACACGAGTTTCGAATTATTTACAAAAACATTCCAAGAACTCAAAATGCGTGAGAATTTGTCTATTCCAGCACTCGTAGTCGTGTCGTTTATATTAAGATGAAATGCCTAAAATTTTATAAATAGGTAAATAAATATCTATAACATCACTTGTACATAAAAAAAAGTCAAAATTTACCTGAACATTTACAAAATTAACATAATTATAGGTGAGATTTACGGGATATTGGCCTGCTGTAATCGTTAAACTCCTATCACTACCAATTAATTTTGCTGCTATGCCAGTTATGAAACTTGAAAAAACAGAACTAAAATATTGAGGGCTGCATGGAAGTTTAAAAGGATAATCAATATCAATCTACAAGTTAATAAAAGGTAATTAATTAATTGTTTAATAAATGGGTACCGCCAAAGGAAAATCATGAATTTTTGATTTTTGGATATTTCACTTCACAAGACACGGGGTTACCGGACTTTGAAAAATCTAATGATACCGATTCAAGAATCGATCTTAATATGACGAAGTGATGTAACAATGTATTATTCTTCGAAGCTAATAAGCCATATTCCGTTAATGTTAAATCTGAAATTCAAGGATTACGTTTGGCGACACCCAAATAATCGGTAGACAATATAAATTTAATTAGCTAATCTTACTCCGTCAAAACCATTAATAGTAACAATACTAACTAAGTCACTAATAAATTTCGAATTTTGAGTGCTATTCGGATAATACACCGAATTATTAAGATTAAAGAAACTATTTAAATTATTCACATCAGTTGGTAGCAAGACTGATAGAATTATCTATAACATAGCAATACATCATTACTATTAACGTTAATAAGTCTTTTTAATTTAATATTTTATTACTTACCTTAAATTTTAGATTATCTTTTAACTTGTAAATTAACAGATCATTAAATTTGGAAGATTGATTGTTAAAAAATACCAAAGGGTCACCGCCACTATTATTATTTCTGCCATTATTAACAAGGTCATTTGGGCCAAATGCTATATAAATATTAATTAACTTATTAAAACTGATTGTAATTAAACAGACTTAACGTTAAGCATTATTTCCGCATACCAATAAAGTTTAAGTAATCAATTGATGAGCTAATAATAAAATCCACTCCCGGTTTTAAATTAAGTTTATAAGCTGGATAATATCCGACAAGCATTTTTGGTCTAGTTGGTGATAGGTGGCATGAATCCTGACCTAATACCTTTTTTCTCAATACCAATATAAAAAAGGTATATAAAAAGAGCAACATGAATGGTGAAAATGATCGAATTTTCATATTTATTATAATGGCATAAAAAATTTTATGATGAAAAATAAAACATGGGATAATATGCACATAAAAATTTTAGTATTAAAGTATTTTCTTAAAAATCTCTGAAAAAGCACACATGATCATAAGATTGCCCTATATAACCTGCTTTTCGATGGTTTCGAACGGAATTCTCGTTATGCAATATCAATAGGAATTCCACCAACAGTGGTGAAGTTTTCTTTAGTTACAATCTTTACCATAATTGGGTACGATTGCGGTGGCGAAGGAAATTTAAAGTTAGCATCCGTCCATCATTTAGATAAAACGGAATTGATCCGTATCCGTCTATCCAAAGGTACCAGCGTTACTAACAATCGAGGGCACAGCAAATTATCTTCAGATTTATAACTCTTCGGAATGCGTAAGACCCTAGCGTCACCAGTCTAAAAAATTTCGCTACCAGATTTAGGGTTTGGGTATTTTTGTTTTGATTTTATTTGCACCTGATCTTGAATTCTAATTTGACCATATAGCGAAATTTTTTTAAGTCGGTGACGTCAGAGATGCATTCGAATAAGGATATACCCGTAGTGCACTGACTAAAATACCCGGGTATTCCAAAATTTTGGCCCAGTAACAGTCAAAATATCCCCGGGTATAAGTTGTTTTTTTTTCAGGTATTTTACATTAAACCCAGGTCTTTTAGTCGGTGCACTACGGTAGTTCAAGATATAGTTGTTAGACGAAACCTATTTCCAAAATGCCGAAAGATGAAATCTAAACCCCAAAAATGAAACGTCTAAACCTCTTGATTAAACGTCAAAACCTTTGCAAAATGTTTAATCTTGGAGAAACGTCGAAACCCTGGCGAAACGTTGAAATCCTAGCAAAATCTAACGAAAGAAATGCGATGTTATCTCGTACTATCTCACAAAAAAACATTGACACCGTGATCTCGAAGCCATTCGGAACTATACAACTAAAGATAAGCTCTCTCTCTAAATATGATATTAATGTTAATAATAAGTTATGAATTGGCACACTACAGCCTAGAGATCACGGGTCAATACTTTTTGTGATATATGCTAAGCTTCATGAAAGATAACACATCCTTCCACCAGGAGTCTACGTGACACTTGCTGTCATGTGGTACGGCACATTCGGATGAGCTTTTTCGGCTTTAAGGTTCGTTGTAGGCTTTGAAATATCATTCACGATATGTAAAATTACAATCAACTATCGATATAAGGGCTGGCCCCAAAGTTCCATTATACAGCATATTCGTTATTCTATATAACAGAATAGGCTTGATAGACCTAATTCAAGTCATACATAGCTATTAGTAAAGTCGCAGTCATAGAATGCAGTCATAGAATGCACTCCGATTGGTCGCCAGTGATACATTATATTAAGTTCGCTAGATGGGTTGGTGATTTAATACGTAATAAAATTAGTAAATGGACTGGCAAAAATGTCCTTATATAAATATGACCTTTTTACTATTGAATCCATTATAGCCTTTCTAAATTTCTTATTAGAAATTCGGTGCTTTGAATTTAGTCCGTTAAACCGACGTAAGGATGCCCGTTACATCGATAGTTGACTGTATGTTCCAGACATTTTTTATTATTATGCATCTTTTTTGTCTTACATGCTTTGTGGTATCGGAATCAAAATAATAAAAATAGATTCCTAAATACAATTGATTATATATGAGTGCGGCCAAGGGAAAAAGCTCGATCTTGTCTTTTTTGCTCATGATCCGATACATATGTATCACATAAGTGTCGGATCATGACTGAGTTTATCAAAAAAAAAGATCGAGGTTTTCCCTTGGTATAACTCATATGTCAGTGAATTGATAATAATTTTTGTAATTTACAGAAACTAACAGAATTGGATGCGCCCCCCAGGCCAGACTTGTTTCTTAGAATGTTAGACGTCCAGTGTAGGCAGGTCACTTATAAGGCTTGTAGAAGTAATCACAGTATGTTGGCTCAATAAATTTAAGCTGAAAATGGTTTGTATAAAATATAGAATTTTAATAAAGAGTTTTAGCAAGACTGCCCAAGTGAAAAAAAAACTATAAATTAATGTATAGTATTAGTTTTTTTTGTTTGTATTAAGGGTAGAGTACAATGTAGATCATTGTTATATATAATTAGTTGTAAAAAAAATTTTAGATAGTAATAACAAAATATATTATAAATAAATTTTTTATTTTTTAATTGATTAATAAAAAATTTTTTTTTTTTTTTTTTTTTTACTTTTGGCAGCCATGATGGTCAACCAGTTAGAAGTTTATTTATAAATATTTAGTACAGACAATATACAAATAGAACTATATCTAACTTCATATACCATTATTACATAGTTATCTCAATTGGCATCTATGAGCAACCTGCTGCACCAGACCTGCTAAAGTTTGGATTGAGCTTGTCTGTCTGTCACTCTACAATTGAACAGCACCAATCTGATACTATTTATTTATAAGGAGGTAAAAAATCAAAAAAAAATTTTTTATTAAGAAGAAATGTACTAAAAAAATATGCATAGAGAAGAAACATAAAAAAAATAAAAAATAAATAAATATCAAGAAATGAAAAGGAAGAGGATTATTAATGAAGGTCAGACAAACAATTACTAATTATAAAGACTGTGTTGACCTATTAAAAATTATATAATTAATATATTTAATACTAAAGCTTATATTCTAAGAGAAACAATTCAACCAAAACTGAACTAACAGAGAATTTTCTATATACTGGATGTCCTGACTCCTTATTACTAGATTCATCTTCATATACAACTCATTATATTTTTTACCAGATCTTACATTTCGATACTTGTTACATTTTTAATCAATCATCTTATCTTTTACCAAAAATCTCTAATCTTGTTTCATTGTTATGTTTTTTTTAAGATACATATACTCATGCTTTATCTGCAACATAGGTCCTTTTCAAATAGAACTAATAAACAATTCTGATATAGAAGGATCAACAATGCTGATTTCAATAGAGGTAAGTTAGATTGCCCACTTTTTGATAAAAATTTCTTGGAAAAAAGTAAAAAAGGAATTTTTTAAAGTACCAACTGTAATGAGCATAGAAGTTTATATTATATAGAATAGTATATCTAACCAAACTTCTATCTTTGCTACTGTTCAGATATAGCTTGACAAAAACTTCCTTAGTTATAGTCAATGTTATTTTTTTAATAACTTCATAGATTTTTATCAAAGAGTCAAACCTATAAGGAGCTGTTTTTTCAACTTTTTTTTATATGACCCATATGCAATCTGAAACTCTTAAATCTAGATGCTATATAGTAAAGTTTTGTTATATATAAATATATTAATTATATAATTTTTATAGGTCAGTATATGTGAAAAATTGATACAGAGAATTTTTGGTAAAAGTGATTAATATTAATAAAAAAATAATTGATAAAAAAATTATAATATTATAAATAAAATTATTTATCTATTATAATAAATTATTATATTATTTTAAAAAATATTTTGTATATATAATAAAGTTTGTTTAGATAGTACAAGATCAGATAATTTAATTAGTTAATTTACATAAATCTATAAGTTAATTTTATTATATAATTTTATATCTTAATATTTAAAATTTATATCTTAATAAGTTTTTAATATATAACTTGAATAATATCAGGCCTATTACTCTGTTAAAAACTCTAAGAAAATATATATCAAAATATTTGACAAACAGATTAACACAAGTTTTTACTAAGAAGAAAATACTCAAAGGTCCTAATTTTATAGATCTTCTAGAAAACTCAACAGAAGAACTAGTACATATTATCAATGCACTAATAAAAGATGCCAAAGACAATAACAAGGAACTATGACTAGTTTTTTAGAATAGTGTTTGGAACCAGTTTTATTTTTCTTATGTTAAAACTAGTTTTAATCAGATTTAACATAAGAAAAATAAAACTGGTTCCAAACTCTATTTCAAAACATGAAAAAGATTTAACTTGGTATCTTTATAAGCACTAGATTTGGCAATAAGAAGACTTAAAATATCTAAAAGAATTATAAATTTTATATTAAACCTATTTGAAAACAGACAATCTAAAAAATCATTATGCACTAGAGAATTACAAAAACATGAAAAGTAAAAAATAATCTTGAATAGAGTAAGTGTTATTACCATTAGTATGAAGAATATTTTATAACCTACTACTTAAAAGAATTCAAAAAGACTCAAATCTTGAATATATAGCTAAAGTAGACATTCTATACAACTATAATCTTAACTATTGCAAGAAAATGAAATGAAAGCAAGCAGTAGTAGCTTTTGCTAATAACACAACTTGGATTGCAAAAAACAAAGAACAGATGAAGCAAACAATTCAAATAGTAGAAGAGTTCTTTAAAATCAATAACACTCAGATAAATAGAAAAAAATCAAGACTAATAATCATGAATACAAAAAAAAGAATAAAAAATAGAAAGATACATTTAGGTAATAAATGGATATAAGAAGAAAATATAAACAAAATAACAAAATCTTGAGAATATAGCTTAACAATAAGCTAAAAGAGTCTTTAGTTAAAACAAGAACTCAAGAAATTATACATACAATAATAAGAAGTCTTAAAATAAAAAAATAACAATAACACAAGTAGTTTATATTAATAACATGTACATAGTACCTAAGCTTACCTATTTGTTACAGATAACAAAATTATTCTAAACAGTAATAGAAACAATACAAAAACCAATTTTAAGAGTAGCAAAACATACACTCAAAATTGCGAATACAGTAAGCAATAGTATTATGCTATATAGAAATCTTGGAAATTGCAACTCACTTTGGCACCAACTATTAATAAAACAAATTACAAGTTTGCATGTATGAGTTAATACT